TAGAACTGCGGTCTGAATATCTCATGTACTTGTCCCTCCCTCTCCCATAGTGCTGCTGTGTAGGGGATTACAGTAGGCTAATGCCAAGGCTGATATTAAGTATTTACAAGGTATCAAGACAAATAAGATATTTACAAGGTATTAGGACAAAGTAGCTTAAAAAAAAAAGTTGCTTAAACAAACTGCACTGGTGTTTCTGCCACGCTCCACTTTCTCTCTCGCCCTCTTTGTCGCTCGCTCGCTTGCTCCTCTCTTTCTCTCTTGCCTGTTTGCTCTGCGTCCCTTATCTCTCTTTCATCAGTGTTATATTTATTCACATATCTATACACAGTTATAACTATGGAGGCCAACTCCCCATACATTTATTTTAGTATTCTTTGGTTCAGTTACACCCAGCCACGATCCATTGGCAGGGTGGAACTCAGCAGGTTCTATCAAGATTTGATCCAACAACGAACCCAGCCCTCAAATTTAATTTGAAGGGTGGATTATTGGTGGCTGCAGGTACAGCTGGCTGCGGCTCTCTCAGTATATAGCGGGCAATAGCCTGCGCCTATACTGAGCTTTGCGTCATGGGAGTAGGTTAGCATATGCCCTCCCATGACCCTAAAGAGAACTATGTGGAAAAACACCCCAAAGTTCTCTTTTTAAATCTTAAAATCCATTCAAGTACCCTAACAACCAAATGTATCTTTGTGTATCACTCGACTGTAGATCCTCAAATCATCTCTGAATTGGTGCTGACACTGTCCTTCCTTCTGGAGGGTGGCTACTTTTGTTCCCCATGGTCCCTGTGTGTGTTGTAAAGTAGTCACCCCTCCAAGCTCACTCCCATGATGGACTTCAATCTCAATACCAATTAGGAAACTAAACGTCAGATTGTAGTCCATCACAGGAGTGAGCTTGGAGCGGTGACTACTTTACAACACACACAGGGACCATGGGGAACAAAAGTAGCCACCCTCCAGAAGGAGGGACAGTGTCAGCACCAATTCAGAGATGATTTGAGGATCTACAGCCGAGTGATACACAAATAAGATGCATTTTTGTTAATAGTTAATCTTAAAAATTCATTAAAGTACCTTAACTCCTGAGTTTAGTGTCACTTTTAATGTCAGCGGTATAGCTGCCTGAATTAAAAAAAAACTAAATATCAGCACCCTTATTGACCTGCAAGTGCATATAGTTTGTTTACTTTGCATCAGATTTATAGACTATTTGCCTTGACTTTTAGGGTAAAACTACCTTAACTACAGAGAACGTTGTGTCCTAATATTGTGGTTTGTTATAGGTTGTATCTCTCGCTGTACTCCTTACCGGATCAATGTATACAGGCGGGTGCTCGCAGTGACGGCGCTGGGAATACCATACAAATTTCAAAGATGTCATCAGTGCACCAGTTTTAGTGATCACCAAAAGTCTGTTTTAATGACCAGTTGCCATTACAAATTGCAAGCGCTTTCAGGGCCTCCAGGGGTCCCCTTCATCAGGCTCAGAATGAAATTATATTGTGGTTTGACCTGCGTTTTCCTGTTAAAGTTCCATGAAAGATGGCTTTATAATGTGTCACCAGCCACTCTGCATTGTTAGCATCCGAAGAAGTTCTTTGCAATACATAATGGTCTTTGTGCTATAATATCCTTGTAATACCTAGTGATGAGAGCGGCATTGTTTCATGGGATTAGAGCAATTACTACAGAGTAGTAACGGCTTATGTCTTTTCTGTAATCATGGCAGAAAGTCCAGTTTAACAAGTGCGTAACTCTCTTTTTTTTGTTGTTGTTGTTTGTTATTGCTTTTCCCCATTAATATTGCAGAAGATAGCAGACCCAACTCCCCCATACCTCTGTATGCACATGCATGGGGGTAACAGTCTGCAGGAGCCAAAGCATTGCACACATGATCTACTGATGTTGGTTGCAATGCTTTACTGGCTCCTATGCGAAAGTATATTAAATACACTTTTTTTTTTTTTTTTTTAATGAATAAGCCTGCATTTTTTTTTGCAAAAGGTGGAATAATTTTTTTTAAGGGAAAAACTATACTTCTTTTTAAAATTTTAAAATGCTGTGCAACATTAAGAGTTTATATATGACCGTACACTGTTTGCCCTTAGCCTTGGCCTTCCTCCACAAACTCGCAAACATGCCCGTTGATCCTGGTGTCATTGTTGCCACCAGTGATAAACAAGCTAGTAGTTTGTCTGTCAGCAGCTGACTGTCTAGGCCTGGCCCCTTTTTCCTAACCAGTAATATTAACCTGAGGTCAGTTCTGCAATGGGATGAGAGCGCACGGCTGTAAAAAAAAAAAATACAGCTCTTTTCGGCTCCATCCACACCTGAGCAGCTGTTCGGATATGCGCGGAGCCGCTCTATAAAGGGAATGTAATGCGCTCCAATGTGCATTGCTCACACCATTGTATTTCGGGGGCCACACGGTTTCATATTGCATGGCCCCCGTAATAGTGCAAGTGTGATAATCCGGTGGATTCTGCATGTTACGATAATCGTACGATCGCGGGGTTTCTGTCGATTATCGTAAGGTGTGTGGGCACCCTTAGAGAGACAAGTTCCTTTTTTTTTTTTTTTTTGTTTAAATGAATGGCTTTGTCAATGAGACATGGTTACTATTTGGCACAGATAATGAATGCTATCCCAGGTGGTCGTAGTAGAATTAGTGGGGTTTTTTCTTTTTTAACATTTTGTAAACCTTTTTTGTATCCGTATTGCTTGGACCAGGATGAAGGGGGGTGGCAGAACGCCCAAAAGCTTGTCCTCAAAATCTAACTGTTTAGTGCATATAAAAATAGAATCGCAGACCGTTCCCAATGGTGTTGAATGCAAACAATTCTATCAAAAACGAAACCCTAAGGTCTTGGTTAAAATAACCAGCGGTTACAGCTGCCCATTTACAAACCTGTTGGGATCATCTCTGCAGTTTGATACATTAACAAGAGGAATGCATGCATGCATGTTTAGTACTTGTCTCTTCCATAGATGAGGAAAGCATGAGTTCTGCTTGGCGAGATTTCCAAACAAGTTAGAAAATGTTTGCAAGGGGTAACGGGCAACTCCTGACATATGGAAAAACTCTTTATTGTGTCATAGCTCGGCACAGCCGTCAGCCAGTTTATCGGGATTTCTCTTCCCTTGAAATTTTAATATTTGTGAATTTTACGAATTGTTTGGGTTTGTTTCCTTTTTGGCCGGGAGGCGGGTGACCTCATTATTTTTCATTGACGCTCTACCATTGTTTAAAGCATCAACACAGTGTGCAATCTGAAAAAAAGTATTTAAAGATAATATGCAAATGTTGTGTACACCCAGGAAACACTAGGACAATGTCATACCGATAGCTGTTACCATGAGTCAACATTGCAGCTTTGGGCACTGGTGACTCTTTGAAAACAAAGTAGTTTCGTTGTGTTTGTGAAAATGGTTTTAACACTTCACCTCCTGTGATGAGGCACAGTGTGAGAACCCCACAACTTTTCTTATGTCATTCTTATTTAACAGACCACACACTCGCCATTTTACACTGCCGTAACTTTCTTGGTCAAAGGTGATATGGTGGAAGAAGTACATTAACCTCTAGAACAATAGTGTCCTGTAAAAGTGGGCATTGGATCTGAATGTGGGGCTAACCTGAGCTTTAAAAAGATCTTACAGAGACTCAGAGAAATGTTATTGTCAGGTAGTTAGCAGTCCTGCACATATCCATATATGCCTAACTTTTAGAAGAAATTTAAAAATATTGGCCAGAATAAAGTATATGCAAAAGCACTACGCATTTCCTTTAAAGAACTCTCCCTCTAAGCAGAGTATAGTAAAGACCCTGCTTCAGGAATAACTCTCCTCCTAGGCATCAATGTAAAGTGGTAAGAAAAATCTAATTTTGGAAAAATTAGTGTTTATGGATTTCCTATGTCCTGTATCAGTCACATGTAGAAAAATGAAAGCCCAATTCCAGACAAAATGTATTTTTTTTAGTTATGGATAAAGCCCAATTGTAGCTTTATTTTTGAACATTTGATAACTGAGAGTGCATACAAACTTCTGTATTCAAATGTCTTACGTTGGCTAATCGGGGGTTTTTTTTTTTTTTCTTGTTCAGTCCCGAGGCTGAGCAAGAAAAAATGCTCGATTCTCCATGGGTAAAGCTAATTGCCACTGTTTTTCAGCGGTCCAACACTCCTACGCAGGGTACAGGAGAATCCTACCGCACCCCTTACTGGTATGTCCCTTGCGGTGGGTGCTGTAGTGACTGGATGGCGCCGCTTCAGATTCAGATAGTAAAGTACATCACCAGCACACCATGGTCAAATCTTCAGAAAGTGATCATTTTATTGATGCGCACACATCTTGTCGCATCGCAATGTTTCGGGGCCACTCAGGGTCCCTTCATCAGACATGCCTGACAAAGGGATCCCGAGTGGCCCTGAAACAGTGCGATGTGACTATGTGTGTGCATCAATAAAATGATCACTTTCTGAAGATTTGACCATGTTGTGCTGGTCATATACTTTACTACCTGACTCCTACGCAGTCACAACTACTGCTCTCCAATCAGCAGGCAGCATGGGCATTGCTACTGGAAAAGGAAGGTGCAAACAGTGATAAAACATTATCAGAAGTTCTAATTATTCCACATTTTGCTTGAAAAAATATGACCAAGGTTCTAACTCTTCCACGCTCTATCCAAAATTGAATAAAAAGTTGTGCTTAAGTTCTGTGTGGAGACATAATTCTTTCTTCTTGGAGACTTCCTTTTGATTTCTGGTGATCAGTCAATTTTAGTTGGCGCAGACGCAAAGAAATCAGGTATTTATTTAGGAGATAAGCTAATTTACATATTTGACAGCACCCAAGCTTTACAAACTAAAACTCAATTTTTAAAAAGGTTATCGCATTTCTTTTTGTGTTACACATCTGTCATTAAAACAGAATATTCAATACATTTCCCCGGATGAGAATTGACTTTTTTTTTTTTTTCTTTTCCAGCTCTTGATGATGGGCCTAAACAGCAGGTAGAAGACATCTCCTCCTTTGCGCTGTGAAACATGTAAACCAAGGCCAGAAGAACACAGAAGATACCTTGTGGTTGGATATATACATAATCATGGCCCAATCAAAGTCTAGTGGATCCTATTATGCCCTCACTGCCATCGGAGTAGGACTGTTGGTGCTTGGCGTAGTGATGGCCGTATGGAACTTGGTCCCAGGATTTGGCAGCAATGACAAACCTGGCCCAGCTCAAGGGAATAGCAGCAAGCCGGAGAACCATGGGGAAATCAATCTCAAGAGTAAGACTTTCTCTGTGGCCTACGTCTTGGTGGGTTCAGGTATTGCACTTCTTTTGGTGGCAATCTGCTTGAGCGTACGCAGCAAACGGAAACGGCACCTAAGCATGGATGAGACTGGGGTCGTCCCGCAGGAAGTGACAAGTCCTCGGGGTAATGACGACAGGTAAGCAAATGTCAACCTGGGAAACTGGTATGACCAATCCTATATGCGCCCACACAAAAGAATTATACATTGATGAGCAACAAAAATATCTTTACTCTGCGTTTAGAAGCAAGCTCTTCTAAAGTCGTCTATTTTTACATAAGTATTGTTAACCAGTTACACCTCAGGGCGTGAGTAGAATATCATCCTTTCAACTCGTCCGTAATGATTACTTAGCAATGTTCTCGCTGCTACTGCCAGATGACACACGTGAGGAAAGAGATGACAACACTGCTTCCTAGTCTTTCCCCAACTGTGCTGTCACGTTTCTGGCTGCTTTTCATCCTCTGAAGTTGTCCGTCCTTTAAAGTGACTCTTGCCAACACACGAATAACAAAAAAAAATGTTGCGTAGTTAACATGTAGGCACCTAGAGAAGCCAGCTCCTAATGTACTTGCAGCAGCCTTCAAAGAACCACAGGTAGGGTCAATTTGCTGGACCTTCTGACAGGCAGTGTTCTGGAACTTCATGATTGTGTCCAAGCCCCTTTCTTCCTGCCTCCTGGTCATTCCTAATGGCCAGTGTGGGTGCCTATCATAGCACTGTGCCAATAGAAACGTGTGGCAGCTTCTCTTGCCTATCAGATACATGTTGCTGCATGATAATGCGCACACACATAACTGTGATATGCATCCATAAAACTTTGTCTTTAGAAGACATTCTCTCTCAGTGAATTTCTGTATGGCCCTACAAGAGCAAGGGAATGAGTTGCTCCTCTAAATTGAGCTCTGTAAATGGTCTTTTTCAGTGGAGCAGCTAAGGACAGACCGGTAAATGAGAAAAGTAACCTAGCTTGCCACCATCTGGCTAGAATTGTATATATTAAATATTCGTGTCCAATACTGACATATGCATACTTGCCTGACATAAAACCATGAAAAATGATTTTACAAATTTGCATAAATTGTTCTAGCGTTCATACTATGAACTTTTTAATGTTATCAAAATGTTATATAAATCTCCAAAATTGGCAATCAAGTTAATCTCGACATGTCCTTTTTAAAGCCGCAGTCCATCCTCCGTTTCAGACTATCATAGTTGTACAGGTTACTCTTTTGAATTTAAATTGCTTGCTCTGATTTCGCTGCACAATGTGAGCTTCTCTCGTTGTTGATTTAGAATCTGCAGCAAGTCGGCTCGAGCCGGCCACATTTCTTGGCTGGAGGACATCCAGAATTATCTAGCTCTGTCCTCCCCTTCCTTGTATCGCTTTGCACAAAGTCAGAAGCTCCTTTTTTATTTTACTGTATGAGTATATTTGCTATTTATCTTTTTGCTACAGTATCTCCTGTTTTTTATGCTGAGTGTCCTGGAAAATGCCTCTAGAGCTTTCAGCATACACAGGACACGGTGGAGTGAGAAATGGATATTGCTTTTTGCTTCTCTTATGGATGGAAACATGACAGGCAGTTAAGATAAGCCAAGAGCTCCATGTTCCCATATGCTGCTATAAGGTGTGACTGTTGTCTTGACCTATAAAAAGAGCTCCCTGTTGAGTCAGTTCTCGGGTCTCCCTCTTTGTGGTCTTATGTATAGACCTCTTAAACATTCACTATTTAAACTATAAGTAAACCCAATCAGTAAAATCATATACTGTATAATTGATCTACACATTACAAATCTACAAGCTCCTGGGAGTCGTGGGGAGATGCCTCCATTCTTCCGGGGATCGGTGGGGAGATGCCTCCATGTTTCTGAGTCAGTTCTCAGGTCTCCCTCTTCCTGGTCTTATGTATAGACCTCTATAAACATTCACTATTTAAACTATAAGTAAACCCAATCAGTAAAATCATATACAGTATAATTGATCTACACATTACAAGTCTACAAGATGAACATTTTCCATTAACCTACCTGGTGATCTTGCCATAAAGGTTCTTTTGCTGCTATGGGGTGACTATGTTTTTGTCCCTGCTTTCCACTTGTGTTCCTGTGTTTTCACCCTCTCACGTGGGTTACTCATGGAGATTACAAGTGGCCTTGCCAACACGTATAGCTTACCATGGTCCACAAGTGTCTCTGTTTCAGGAAGCCAGTCCAGAGCAATGATGTGCAGCGGACACTGGGGTAAGTGCAGTGCTGTTGCTAATTCACCAGCATTTGTGGGTATGGCCTCCTCCCAGAATGCAGTGCTCAGTCTATACAGAATTCACTCCCGTTTTATAAATCAGCCACGAATCACTTATCTGTAAAATTATTTTTCTTCCACTACTAGTGCCCTCTGACTAATGACAACCTATCTGCATAGTAATTGGTAAATTCTTTTAAACAAACTTGTCAGATTTTGAGAAAACATAACTGGTGTGTGGCTGGCTTTAGAAAAAGATCCCACTGCTGTAGTAAGAGCAGTAGTCCACATGGTTTCTGGGGTAGAAAAACCACCTGGGCACTCTGTCCAGCCAGTGGAGACTCAAAACTCATAAAATATGTGAATTGTGAGTGTAGCTAGGATTCTGTCAGCTACAGCATTAGATTTACCTGGCAGCCAGTACTGGTAACATATATCACCCAGTAGCAGTACATAAAATACCCTCTCAACCCCTCCCTAAGTGGGTCTTCCTGATCCCCTGTACCTAATGGATATATGAATCAATCATTATTTAAAAGTAAAAGGAATGAGTCACACTTAATTTAGTTGGCTGCTCAATACTGCAGGTAGGGTTCACAAAATAACTTTTGTATAAATTAACCATGAGGGTAATTGTAGTCAGTTAGGCTGCCACTGCCAGTGTTGGAATACAAATTCTTCAGCGATCTTGATCGGCACGTGATGGCACATACTCGGAATGTTGCACGCTCTATCCAGGCTGTGTCTGCATGTGGAGGCTTGTATGAAAACTGGCAGTACAGCATTGCACAAGGAATCATGTTCTAGAGCTTGTCAAGGGTGAAATGATGGCTAGAGAGTGTTGAAATGAAGCATTAATCCAACTACACCCAAGCTGTATAATCCAACTACACCCAAGCTGTATAAATAGTGTTTAATTACACTGAAATAATGTATACGCAGCAGCAAGTTTTCAACATTGCCAGGTTTTTATACAATACAACCAATTTACATTTAAAGGATAGCTTTACTTTTGTAAACTTATCCTTTAATTGACCCCCCATATAGTCACATATTACCCATGGTGAACTGAACAGCCAATTCTTGAAACTTTGTGAATGTCCAGTTCCTGTGGACCTGCCAGGATCTAAGATGGGCAAGTATGAGACTTTGGAGGTGGTTGTGTTGTACAGCACAGTTCTTTAAAGTGGAGCTAAATTAAAAAATTAGCATAAAGTTGTGTTTACAGTCTGGCCGGAGAGGATAAATAGGGAACAATAGGCTGAAGTGCTTTTCCTAGAAAAAAAATGCTGCTCTAGGTTCCTTTACTGGCGGACTATACAACCCAAATGCCTAGGCAATTAGTTATGATCTCAACTGACCCAATCAGAACCCTGATCCTCGTCTTTAGCTGGGATTACATGACAAAAAGCCTAGGCATTTAGCCATATGATCTCTTTTGACCCTATTAGAACCCTGATCTTACCTTTTTAGCTGAGATTACATGACCAAATGCTTAGGTTCCTGGTCACATCACCAGCATAGAATGGCGGGTCTAGGAAGTCTACTTCCCTTTTACCAGCTCACACTGAGAAATTGCTTTTCCTGTGGATGACTTTGGTAAGCACAAGATCCTTAGACATCTGAAGGAAGCATGGGGAACAAGGAGCAACAGGATCTTTTAAGCTAGGCTGCAGGCACTGGGTGATTTCGGCACTCCTGTTCCTCTAGGCAGAGGATTATGGGAGGAAACCGATAATTGTTTTCACCATGTTGGAATGCCAGGAAGGGCAGCCATTGTCAGGGCAGCCAGAATTTTGTTGCTGCGGTGCACATTCCGTAGCTCACTATCTTGAGCTATCGGTAAAATGAAGGACAAAAGTTAGTGCCATGGCTGTAGACAGATCTGACCTTGGCAGATGGAGAGATTTTATTATATGGATATGTAGTATACAAGCGTTCTCTTGGAATAACAAAATGTATAATGTCATTCTATTAAAGTGGTTACAGTGGAAGACTATTTAATTATCTTGCCTTTCAGTGGAGGCCATGTCAAACGTTCAGCTCCAAAAGGGACACCTGATGGGTGTAGTATGGTTTGTTGCTGCCTACAGCATTCCTCCTGCTCTGGGGCAGTCAGTTCAGTGTTCTGTACACACACTGCAGGCTGAACCCAGCTCAGAATGGTCTGATTAGGCAAACCTCTATTCTTAACTTGCACTGTATCGGAGAACCTCGACCTTCAACCTTATTCATTCCTAGGTTCTCATCTAAAGAGGAATTCCAGGTAATAGGTGAAACCAAACAGTAAGCAACTCTTATCCAGCAAAATCAATGTGAAGTCATTGCTCAGAGGCCCCAGGCCGCACTTTGGACACAGGTGCCATCTAAACTCCAGAACGTGTCACTTCCCCTTGAAACCACACACACACACACACGATGTAGAGCTTTGCACCCCTTCCAATCTTGCATACTTTATTGTGCAAGTGGCAGAGACAGCCCACCGATCCTCTCCTCTGATGTGTTTTGCCCCTACTTGGACTTAGTTATTGGGTTTATTCTAAAGAACTCTGCATTTAAGGCTACTTCTACCTTTCAGACCATGTTCCATTATACACCCATATCTAGGGTATAACCTAAACCATAGTCAAAGACTGCAGCCTACCAACCCCATACCACCCCTTTTTACTGTATTGTGGAGTTCTTCTCCCTGCAGCATCTTGTCTATATTTGAATTCAACACAGCAGCAGCTGTGTCATTTGTGCACTGATCCATTTGTAGCATCTGAATGAAATTACGACCAGTCCCATCTTGCCCAGCGGTGGAAGAAGTTGTAAATCTCAATGGACTACAATTGCAGTGACACCATGGCACTTAAAGGTCCATCTATAACTTCCTCCAGCCTAGTAACAA